ACGTATGGCGTCATAGCGCGGCGCCGCCGCCATGATGGGGAGGGAGAGGGCCGCGCGGCGGGCGCCATCTTGGGGAGGGCGGTGTGGGGGTAATGGGGAGAGAGGAGGCGCCATCTTGGGGAGGGGGCGGTGGCGGCGGCGCCATCTTGGGGAGGGCTGAGGGGTGACGGGGGCTGGGGTGAGGAGCGCGAGGCGCCATCTTGGGGAGGGCGTGGCGCCGTGGCCTGACGGGAAAGACGCCATCTTGGGGAGGTCGCAGCAGCGCTCCCCGTTACCTCGTAGCCCCTCAGCGCCTCTTATTTTATTTTATTTTTTTTTCCTGTGAAAAATAAACATTTTGGATCGTTGCCCGGCGACGTTTTCTTTGCCTCAGCCACCGCAAAGCGCCCAGGGAGTGTCGGGGTGGGGGAAGCTGCGTTGCTGAGGGGAGTTGGGTTGTGTAGAAAGGAGATGAAAATCAGGCGAAGCCGTACGCGGGACTTCAGAGTTTATTGTGTGACGTTTGGGGTTCAGAGCTGGGGGGGGGGGGGGTTGTGACAGGGGACATCTGTGGGCTTCCGGTGGTAAGCTGAAGTATGAGCGATTTAAGTGATCTGATGTGAAGATGGTGAGGGAAATAATAAAAGTAGGGCTAATTGTGATTAATAGGAGGGATTTTAAGGAGGGATTTCAGAATGAAGCTGTCAGGGGTGGGATGTTTTCCTCACAGCTGGAGGATGGGTGCGAGGAGGGAGGAGAGTCTGAAAAACAGAGGAAGGAGGCAAAGGAAATAACAAAACTAGGGATAAATCCATTTTACAGGAAGGATTTTAAGAAAGGATCGCTTAAATGCAATGAAGACGTCAAGCATGAAGTGTTTTCCTCACATCTAAAGGACGCTGTGAATGGGCGCTTCCAATTGGAAGTGTAAGGGAGGAGGATTTGAAATACAGAGGAAAAAGGTGGTGAGGAAATAATAAAAATAGGTATAAATCCATTTTACAGGAAGGATTTTAAGAAAGGATCACTTAAATGCAATGAAGACATCAAGTATGAGGTGTTTTCCTCACGTCTAAAGCATGGTGAGGATGGGTGCTTCCAATGGGAAGTGTAAGGGAGGAGGATTTGAAATACAGAGGAAAAAGGAGGGGAAGAAAATTAAAAATAGATCTAATTCTGATCAAGAGGAGGGATTTTAAGAAGGGATTTCAGACTGAAGCTGTCAGGTTTGAGACGTTTTCCTCGTGGCTAAAGGATGGGTGTGAGGAGGGAGGTTAACAGGAGCTTGTTTGCAGCTGGAAAACAAAAATATTTTCAGGAATATTCCTTAAGGTGTGTGTTAGGCATTCTGCTGGAGATCTGTCAGGTGAAATATTCAGTTGCTTTCAATTATAGTAATCAGAGTTTTGTTTTTCTTGGCATAAATATATATATATTTCTTATTTTTTAAATTTCAGGACATCAAGCTACCATCTGTGCCTGGTAAAAACCTCTTCCATGGGTATGTCAGAGTTATACAAACGTTGTTATCCTAATACCCATTCATGGTGGTTTATAACTCCCTTTAGAATCATAGAAACATCCAGGTTGAAAAGACCTCTGACATCACCAAGTCCAACCCCAGCTCATCCCCACTGTGCCCACTGAACCACATCCTTCATTGCTACATCTCCACATTATTGAACACCTCCAGGGACAGTGACCCCACGAGGTACCCATTCCAGTGCCTGACCACTCTGAGAAGACATTTTTCCTAATATCCAGTGCCAGTCTCTGTGAAATAGGAAGCATCTTAACATGCTGACCATCTCTCAGCCCTCTGCGCATTTTATAAACTGATAAATGAAGGAATAACTTCATCCCATCGATGGAATCAAACACAGCCACCAATTTTTTTTCAGTTAACAAATGGAATAAAGCTGTAAATGGCCTCCGAGGGCAGGTGCTTATGACCACACTGCATCCATCTGAAGGTGGAAGAATATGGAAAGTGTGGTAAGAAGAACTGCAGAGCCAGCTGAGTCAATTGGCATGCGTGTCAGGTCAGCTCAGGATCAAATGTCCACTCTGCAGAGTCACACTCCATTTGTTGCCTCTGCAGTGCCCCTGCATTTCTTTGGGAGCTTTGCAGCCACATGCACACTCTCACAGCATGTTGTGGGGGAAAAAAAAAAACAACAAAAAACACCTCTGCTTTTTGCACAAATGCTGATAAACTCAGGGACTCTGAGTTTGAGATGCTCTAGGTTTCTGTTATTGGTCATCTGTGAGTTCAAGTGTGGGCCAAATGGTAACTTATGTCAGTTGCCCCTGGTGGGGTTTGCTGCTCCTTGAAGCAGGGTGAAGCTTAGCCAGCGCATTCAGATGTGTGGAAGCAGCTGATGTGGACTAATAGCTATGGAATTCCCTTGTGCTAATCATCAGCTTTGGAACAAGGCCACATGCCACCCGAGCAGCGTGGTATAACCCAAACTTCCACAGGATGAAGGTCACTTTCTAGTATATCACAGGGAGGCAGACTCACTCCAAGCTACCAAGACATTTTCGTAATGGTAGGATGTGATAACACTGCAATAGCTTCAGGAGGCTCTGGAATCTCCCACAGTGGAGGTTTTAAAGACAAGTTAGACAAATACTGCTCAGGAATGCCGCAGGTGGAGTTGTTTGTGCCTCAGGGAGAGGGATGGCTTACACCAAGGTCCCATCCAACTGCATTTTTCAGCCACGTGTCACTAACTGGTTTGGAATAGGCAGATGAAGCCACGAGCTGTTGAAAGTGCATGTTTACAAGGCAATGGCTTGGGCTGGGCCTAACACATGCCCTTTTTTTTTCCCTACCCCTCTCAAAGAGTTCTTATCTGAAGACTGCAGATTGGACCCAAGCCTCTCAATGGGCAAGGACACGGACATTCATTTGGAATGCACCAGATAAGTCCTCAAGAGGCAGAATTTCCCAGAGTAAACAAACTAACTCTTTTTACAGAATTGAATGTCAGTGCATTTCCCCAGGTTTTCACGCTGCCCTTGTGTCATAGGCTCACACTCCTATGGGAAAAGAGGTGCCAAAAGGCTAACTGTGAGTTCAAATGGATGTTTTGCAAACAGAAGGGTAGGGAACATAAGTTGCACACCTGTGGGAGTGCCAGGACATGACAAATCCAGCATCTAGAAGGATGGGGAGAGATTAGCTGGGCAAAGGCAAACAATGCATGGTGGAAAAGGTGAGTTCTGGTGACAGAGTGGGTCCAGAAAAGCTCAGATGTCCACATCTTTGGCCTGGAAAGAGAATGTGGAAGGGATAATGTGCCAGAGTAGCCAGTACAGAAATACAAACCAAACAGCAGCCTCCAGTAATGGAGGATGTGGCTGTGGGAGTGCAGCTGTGTCACAATCAGAAGGTTTGCAAGTGAGAAAAAGTTCTGTGGACTTTTAGGGACCACAAAGGAAGATTATGTTTCTATAAGGGGATGAGGCACATGATGATTGAGCAGAAGAAACTGAGCAGTTTTTAAACATTCAAGTCCAATCAGAAGGGAAATACTACAGACACATCTTTTCCCAGATTAAAAAAAAAAAGAAAAAAAAGCATCCATTACTTTCCTTTAACAGAAATCTTTGCAACAGTTATTGTCCAGTAATGTGCAATAACATTGATTTGCAGGGCACATAAAGAGCCAGACTTGGTTTTCATTACTCTAGGGAGAATGTTGATAGTGCAATGAGTTTGTTAGAAGTAGTCTTGATTGGGTTCTGGTTGCTGCAGCTCCTCTGGAGTCAGATTAGACCAAAGCTGAGTCAGGATTTGGGGAGAATTTCTGCAATAAAAATCTGTTATGATTTGTGCTGCCATCAAAATCCACACAGATGCTGTAATTCTGGAGAGCTGCTGCTGTTGGATGGAGGATTCTTGCAGCATCACCCAAAGCCTGACCTTTACCCTCAGTTCTCCAGCGTGGTGTGAACATCTAGGAGCAGCCTGGACTGGGGCTGAAACCACTGTTTTGGTGATGATTCCACAACAAAATGGGGTCTGAATGTGCAGCAGTACGACTGATACATGGCTAGTCTTGGAGACAGCAGCTTTACAGTCATGGTTCTTCTCTTGCAGCATCCAGTAACCAGTCTGGCTTTTGGTCTTGCCTTGCATCAACATGCCTTTTCATTTCACTTCCTCTCATAATTAGTGATTAATTTTTTGTTCTGCTGGTATCCAGACGAGTGTGATTCTCTGGTCTCCATGAAACAGCAGTAATAGTAACAACTACCTGGAGAATGGCATGGAAGAACACAGTTAGGCCTTTCAGTGCCTTTTCCTTCATGTTCAGCACCAAATTGCAGCAGATCTTACAGCCAAAATAGTTAATGGAGAGTCAGAGACGAGACGCTACAGAAAGAAGAAATGCTATAGGAACTCTGTTGGCAGGAAGACTTTTCTCTCCCATCCCCACATTCTGCCCTAATCTTATTTTTAAATACAAGGCGATTTCCCCTTGGCTGGGCTAGCTGTCTGCACACAATTACACTTCTCTATTATTAGTGAGAGTGAGAAGGGCTGAGTTTACAACTGTGCAGGAGAGATAAGCTCAAGACGACTGTGTTTCCTCTCCAAGGGGCTGTCGAGCTGTGTTCAACTCTGCATCTGAGACACTGCTGTCCTGAAATGGGGAGGAATTCTTGTCCTCTGAACGGGGATGCCCAAAAGGAGCAGGCTGGGTGAGTTTCTTCTAATGGAAGATTAGACAGAGAATCTCTCACATGATTTTACCTTCTTCATCCAGGACACTGGAGTCACAGGAGTTTCTGAGCTTTCTGATACCCATTTTTATGTCAGAATAATCACATCCTGAACTCCTTTTACTAAATGAACTAAAGAATCTACACAACTAGTCTAAGTGTAGATACAGATGCAGACATTTATAGGAGATTAATGCCACGAGTCTCAGTTTTATGGCTCTCCCATATAGCAACATGCAAGGAGAAAAACTGCACATCAGAAGTGCTAATTGTTACCTTCAACAGCAGTAAAAAACAGACCAAAACAACAAGAATAGCAGGTTTCAATAGTGGGACTTGGGTCTGAAAAGAAAAAAAAAAAAAATTGCACTTTGCACTTGCTTAACTGAAAAAGCTGAAATGAAGGAATGTTAGGGGAAAGGAGATGTAACAAGTGTGAGGAATCAAAGCATCTGCACTTAGAAGAAAACAGAGCTGCTCCTTGGACATTTTCTGAGGGCACACTGTAATTAACAGTTATTCCCAAGATGTCTGTTGTCAAAAGGTGCCAAAATTCCTCGATAAGTTATCTCAGGAGCCAAAACAACAGGTGACAGAAGGACTGTTGCTTTCAAGGACACCACTTCAGGTCACACCATTCAGATGAGCTGAGCACCATGGAAAGCTCGATAATTATTACTGAATTAAGGCAGTGCCTAGTGCTAATAAAGTTGCAATATGCCCAAAACAATGCTTGAGCATTGTTTATCCTGAAGAACAGAAGCACAGGGAGAGATTACACAAAATTAAGATCACAAGAGGAGGCAATACTATCAACAATATTAAAAGAAATAGTAATTTCATAAGTAATTTCATTTTCTTCCATTCCTGCAAGTCACGTCAGAAGCTTTAAACCAACTATGCCTCTCTTTATCAAGCCCTCTTATGAAGCAAGGATGGGAAACTACCAGAATCCTCAAAAGCAAATGACATAGGAAAGGAATTCTCTCCATAGGTAAGCATTACAAATTTCAAGAAGACCAGCCAACCTACGTAACATTCTGAACTGCCATTGGAAAAAACCCACAGAAGCTCTCACATTCTGTGTAAGCAAGGAGGGAGCCAGATCGTTCCTGGAATGCAGTGAGCAATCCAAGCTTTTGTAACCATGTATTCAGTGTGCAAGTGCTTCATTATCCAGCATCAGTCACTTGGTCAATGAGCAGATTTATTTTGCAAACATTATAGTCCAACAAATGAGCAGTTTGCCATGAATGTGAAAATGAAATGTCATCTCAGTATGCGTGGAGGACTCTTCACCAGCTGGTTATCCTTGTACTTTGCAGAACAGGAACCTTACTGAATGACACAAAAAAAGGATCCCCAAGAGATGTACGACCTATTGGAATCACCCTGAGAGAAAGAAAAGGTTTTTCTGAAGTTAAATGTTTTATTTGTTTGTTTGTTTGTTTCAACTTGCACTAAGCAGTATTTAACATTTTGGCTTTCTTCACATAATCCAGTTATGCTGGTTGTCCTGCCAGCATTAAAGAGGGGCTTCCTTTTAGCTCACAGGACCACTTATCCTATTGCTTTTTGTTTCAGCTATTATAAATATTCTAACATTCAACAGTAATTACAGGTGAACTTTTAAAGCACTTGGTCCAAGCATTTTCACCAAAGGGCAAACTGCTTCATTCATGACATACAGTCATGGCCATCCCAAGGAAGACACTAGGCTACACTAGGCTTTTTCCTCATTTTTCTTAAACATTTCTCTTTTTCAGTGCCAGTTACAACGAGAAGACGGTTTGGACTCCTGAATTCACTGAATACCTCCAGAAAACCACCAATAACTGGGTGACACACTAGGATGCAACAAAAACACCCCAGCATCTGGAATGGAGAGCTTCAATACTTGCAAACGTTGTGGCACCCAGACAGCACATCTCAGAGAGCAACCACTGCTGTGAGTGCTTGTTTTTTGGTCCTTCCCATCTTTTGTACAACAGTTACTGACAAAAGGGAGAAAAAGCTCACACCTTTTTTAACATAAGCAGGAAGTGAGAAGCTGAGGAAAAAAATACATTAAAGTTGGATGACATTTTTTTATTCCCGTGAGACATCTGAAATGGCTGGAGGGGACCAAGTCAGTGGAAATGGCAAATGAGACAGGAGTTAACCCACCAAAACCTCAATTTTATTTACTTCTGTGGCCACCATTTAGTGCCAGCATCTAATGTGCATTTTGGATAAAAGTTTTTCTTTAAATATCTGCCATGGTAACTTCTTCATTCTGGAGATAGCATTTATGACCACAGAAGTCTTCAGCTGTCCTCCTCTGAACTTGGGAAATAACATCCAGGGCATTTCCTAAAGTGAAAAATGAGACAATGTGTATGTGCTGTTTCTCAAGCCTTTCTTAAGTTTCATAAAGTTCTGCAATGCTTTTCTTAAAATGTCAAAATAACGCATTAGGAAATACCATGCAACACACAAGTGTTGGCTGAAGAATATTCTAATACCAAGTGTGGTGAATAATGGCTGTTTACAGGAGTTAAACAAAAAGACATCACTCTCAAAAGTCTTTTGACTCTCCCACTGTACCCCACCCACAAATATGCACGTCAGCATCCGGTGTATTTTTAACAGCCTGGTTTTGGTACATAACTTCCTACACAAAAGGGACACTCCATGTACTCCAGCAGCACACTGTGCATGGCTGTTAAGTAGCAGCAAGACGAGGGATACCCTACTACTGAGAAATGTAAGAGATGATGGGCAAAACACTGTGAAATTCCTTTGCAAAGGGATGTAAAGGAAAGGGTCTTGAGCTTCCAGTTCCCTCTCAAAAGATTCTTTGGGGATTTGAGCAGAATCAGTTTTATTCATCATAAACTCAGCTTATAAAGTCTGTACTCCAGCAGGAAGAAGAGCCTGCCACAGTATTCAACTTGTACATGTTGTGATGAAACAGAGATATCTGTTATACAGCAGCAATGGAGTCTCCCATGAAGCTGCATCCATTCGAGCTGGACTGTTTCTCAGAAGTCAGCAGCAGTTGGTGGATGTTTGAAGCACCGTATTCAAGTAGAGAATCAACCAATTTTAAAATCCAAACTGTTATTTCAAGGTGTCTGCTGGTCTTCATTAACCACAGGGCAGCCTGAATTACATGCAAAATTGAGATGGATGAGGGTGTGGGAGAGGGAAAAAGGGGGAAAAAAAGTGTTTAATTTTGCAGTTTGGGATGGCTGGAAGGGCTTTCTTATCTGCTATCAAAGAACTGAATGGCAGCTTCTCAGACATTCTTGAAAGCAGAGCCTTCATCCTTTACACTTCACTGGTCACCATCTGGTATGCATCATACAAAAGCAGATTTTGGGGTTTTTAAAGAGAAAACAACTAATGATATTTCACTACTTGTTCCAGTCAGTTTTGCTCACTAAAACTTGAAATTGTTGTAGCTGCAGTCTATCTCATATGTAAGAAGAGCTTTGCTTCCCTGCAGCAGTTGTATCAGATCAGCCCACACGTCTGTTCTGAGCAGCATACTGTCTGCCTGCTGGCTGGATAACAGCTTCAGAGGAAACTGCAGTAATGCTGCAAGAGGTGATTGTAGAGAAAGTTGCCCAGAAGGAAATCATGTCCCTAAATATTTGCTCCACATCCAATTGTTCTTATGTTAGGAGATGGTGTTGCTCCTCAGCTTTTCCTCCTGCAAACTGACCCTGGATGAGAAACAGAAATGCCAGTGGTGGGGGACAGCCCTGTGACACCAAGTAGTTCCTACCTTGGAAACATCTGTCCCTTAATGCTCTGTGCAGCAAGTATATCACACAAAGAGGAAATGCTTCATTTTTTAACAAACAGTATAAGATTATAAATATAGAGAGCAAACTGCTCCTCTCTTGCTTTGGAACACCGTTACCAGGAGGAAATAGTTGCAAACATATGTTGTGACCAAAGACTTCCTGGTGGGTGATGGGGAAGCAAGACTTTGAATAAGTGCTGAAGAAGACTCATCTATGAGTGGCAGAGCAAAATGGTACTGCAAACCACATCCCTGATACAGCAGTACATACCAACAGCAGGCTATCAGCAAGGAAACAGGGTCCCCACCATGACTTTCTTGGCACATACATGAAAAATTCAGTAGAGCACTGCAGTAGCTCACATAATCTACACGACAGTAGTTGGCCTGCAAACCAATGCCACAAAACCATGATTTTATCAAGTTAAGTCTCTTCATAGAGGGAAGATGTTAAGATGGAGAAATAGCATAAAGCTGTACAGGTGTTTATCAGTTTGTGTCAGACCTGTTGTAATTGGCAGCTCTGCTGCCTGTAACACAAAGCTATCTGGAAGTCAGAAAGGTGCAGCACCACCACGTACAGTTAATCAATCAGAAATGGCCTTGGGGAAGGGCTCCAAGCTGGCTTACTGCTCAGCTGCAGATGTTCAGCCCTGAGAAACCAGCTGAAGTTCTTCCTGTGCACATCACACTGCTGCTTGATGTAGGGAGTGGTTTTGCACGCTCACTTTTGCTCAAATATTCGAGAGACCTGGAACATCTCCTCTTCCAGTAACTCTAGCCTACTTCAGATAATCTTTTCCTAACTCTTTCTCTGAGATTCTGGCTATTTTGTATTCCTTCCCACCTCTCACAGCCTGTGTCAGTTCAGGACACATCCTCTCTTGTCCCACTGCATCCTTCCAGCCGGCCTGCTGGAAGTATCTGGGAGAGATGCACAGACTCACTTGATGTACTGCTTCACTAAGGGCTGCCTTAAACTGACACGGAGGAAATGGAGCGAAACGACTTTGATCTGTAACATAAATCTTGTGGTTTCCAGCCAGGATGTTCAGACTAACAGCGATTACCGAAAGGGGAGATTTGGTAGGTGGGCTCATCATCGCCTCTAACTTAACACAGTGTCACTGCCAGCATCTCAGCTAGATCTCCAGAATCCCACTGCAGCCAAAAGAGAACCAGCAGTACGTTTTCAGTGGGGCTTCAAGTATCACTTATCTGTCCAAATGTAGAATGAGGTGAATCACCCAGATATGCAGACTGCATCGCACAGCTCTTTTGACCCAGAAAGGGAGCACCAGGCGACTCTCAGAGCTGCTGCAAAAGTATTTGACACTGATGATCTCAGTGTGGTATCTGCTATCTGAGCTCAAGTTTCCACCAGCACTGGTTGAAAGAGCTGGAGGCACACCCACACTGGGGAGCACTTTCTGTCTGCATAAGAGCAGCATTGGTATGGGATATAAAAAATAAACCCCACCACAACCCCCTCAGACTGCTGAGACTCAGTGTTTTATTCTGCACAGAACTAAGGTCTAAGGGCCACAGCTGAAATTACGACAGCACCAGTGTCACTCGCCATTTGTCACTGTAAGCTTGAGCTATAATGAGTGTCTTTGCGTGGACACAACAGTGATTATGGCAAAATATTTGAGCTAACCACTGGAGATACTGCTATGAGTCTAAAGTTCAAAAAAGTCTCTTCTTATCAGGGGGAGCTTGGCTTTCATCACATCCTTTGCTTTCCAGCCAGCTACTTCCGTCTCTTCCCCTTCTTTTTGGGGGAGCCAGGCCAAGGAAAGCCCCGCACCTCTAAGCAGGCAGGGACATTATGGCAGATGTAATGGGCGTTGAGCATGGCAGCTGAGCTGAGGATATCCACGTCCTTCACCACCTTCTTTGTTTTGTTTTTAGAGCTTTTGCCTTTGCCACGCTTGGGTTTGCTGCTTTTACCTGCCTGCAGAGAGAAAATGACCATGGAAACAAGTTAATTAGCCCTCTGTATTGTCCACTGAGGATCCCAAGACATCCTGGAACAGTTTCATGGCATCACAGTCCGGGCTATATTAGCTCAGAGCCCCTCACCGCAGACAAAATCTATATTTGATCTTTAAAGACATCAGACAGGATTGCTTAGTGTTCCACTGCACTTCTGTCTGGCTAAAATAGGTCGGTGCATAATGGAAATCCCATGGTCTTTTCAATTGATTTTTTAATTAATGCATTGTAATACATTCCTAAAGTCAATTAACCATGTGCTGGGTTTTCATCCAATGCCTTTTTTTTTGTCACTTACCACCTCTGCTCATCTATTTCTGTTATTTACCTAGTTTTGCACACCATTAATTAAACAATTCTGTGCAAATCATTAGAAATATTAAGGATAGATGCAAAGGCCGTATGTAACTATCAGATGGGAACAAACCAGCTGAAGGCAGCACGTGTAGCATATTTTTCCATGGAATGAGAGCACAGTTGGTATGCAACCTTCAGTCACCCAAGAGCACAGCGTGGAGGTGTACATACAGGTATAAAAGAAAAACAAAAAGTCACAAGGTCCATATAAAGTCACAGAACCACTGTCCACAAGAGGAAAAAGAAGACAAACAGAAAACAGTGTGAGCTACAGATGATGGCAGTAGTGTTTCCTATTCAGTCATTGCACACTGCAAACTTCAACACAGACATTCATCAGAGAGGGTGATGAGCCTTTCACAGACGTTAACTGGCTAGAATTTGTTGAATACTGCATGTCCTGGGATGGATTTGCTTCAGAGTGGATGCTTACAGCAGATTATGAAACAGCCTCCCAACTGCACTCCCTGTTTGTGTAATCCCAACGGGGCCACTGACAGATTGTGTGAGCACCATTACATCCCTAGTCAGAATTTGTCCCATAGCTGATCTTTCAGAATGACAAAGATGCTTACAGCTAAGGGCAAGTGAGAAACAGGGAATGTCTTTGACTTAGAGCTGACTCACTGCTCCTGCTGCCTCTCTGCAGCGAATACGTCCGACCTCTGGGCTTTGACTGTCAGCAGTCAGTTTTTGTCAGCAACTCTCTTTTCTTCTCTTTTCTGTCTCTTATTGAATGTGACATTAGTAAGCTGCAGCCTGCAGTCAGCTCACGCAGTCCAGCACAGCCTGGAGCAGGGCTTCCCAGAAGACAAACGCTTGTGGGAAGCCAACAGACTCCTCCAGCATAGCACCACAAATGCTGTCAGGAGTCACACCTCATCCATATGTACACAGGCACACACAGCAGTGCCACAGCTAATGTCTGGCATGCCAGCCAACAGCCGTGGTGTTCCTTATGGGTTTAGCAGGCAACCAAAGCTGAGCAGCTCTTTTTTTTTGGCATGCATCTTCTTTTGGCATGCAGAGGCAACAGTTGGGCAGATGAGAGTTCCTAACAATGTCCCATTGATCCCATACAACCCAGCATGACAACTGAACTCTTAAGTATCACGATATCCATGTTTGTGTGGCATTTGCTGTCACCTACAAGCAACCAGATTTGGCTCCTTCTAAAAGGTATGCAGAATTTTACAGCTTATTGCCTGTCAACATCAAGAAAGAGCCAATACCTTCAAAAAAACCAAACCTGCATTACCATGGATGAGTCCTAGCGAGCAGCACTCCACACCAAGCCTCAAGGCAGGACCCTGCAACACACAGCCATGCCATCAGTTACACACTGTGCGAAGCACTGGGATTATTCCATCCCATCTCCATCTCCGCCTCCATCCCCACCTCCATCCATCCCCATCCCTACCTTCATCCCCTTCCCCACCTTCATCCCCTTCCCCACCTTCATCCCCATCTCTATCCCCATCCTCACCTCCATCCTTATCTATCCCGATCCCCACCTCCATCCATTCCCTTCCCCACCTCCCTTCATCCCCTTCCCCACCTCTATCCATCCCCATCCACTTCCCCACCTCCATTCCCATCCCCATCCCCACCTCCATCCATTCCCACCTCCATCCATTCCCACCTCCATCCATTCCCATCTATCCCAGTCTCCACCTCCATCCATTCCCATCTATCTCAGTCTCCACCTCCATCCATTCCCTTCCCCACCTCCATCCATCCGTATTCCCACACCTCCATCCCCAACTCCATCTCCTTCCCCATCCACACCTTAATCCCCATCCACACCTTAATCCCCTTCCCCACCTTAATCCCCTTCCCCACCTCCATCTCCATCCCCATCCCTGTGAACCCCAAGCAGTGAAAAGATCCCAATCCCAGATCCCAATCTCGAGGCCGGCCGCCCCTCGCAGCCACCTCCCACCCTTCAGCCACGCGTTGCCATGGCGCCCGCCACGCCTTCCCCATTTTCACGCATGCGCGTTGCGAAGCGGAAGTCCCAGCAAGCCCAGCCCCCCTCCAACTCACGCATGCGCAGTGAAAGGCGGAAGTTCCAGCAAGCCCAGTACCTCAAAATACGCATGCGCAATAGAAAGCGGAAGTGTCACCAAGCTCCGCCCTCACTCCGCGCATGCGTAATGAGAGAAAACAAGGCCCCGCCACCTCAGCCCACGCATGCGCAGAGGAAGCCGGGAGGTCATTAACGGTCGCCTCAGGAGGAGGGCGGGAAGACTGTTTCGCGGAGGCCCTGAGGGGAAACAGGGTCAAAAAAAAAAAGCCTCTGGTTTTGTGTGTTTGAGGGCGGAAGGCCTCGACGTGGGCTGTGTGGTACTGGGGGAGCAGATCCTCTCCTCTGTGGCTTCAAGCTGCGCCAGGAGAGATTTATACTACTTCTCTGAAAGAGTGGTCAGGCGTTGGAATGGGCCGCCCAGGGAGGTGGTGGAGTCACCGAGCCTGGAGCTGTTCGAGGAACGTTTGGATTTTGTGTTGAGGGACGTGGTTTAGTGAGTACTATCGGTGATAGGTTAAACTGGATGAGCTTGTAGGTCTTTTCCAACGTTGGTGAGTCTGTGATTCTGTGATTTGTGTTGGTGCTGAGAGCCCCTCCCTGCACACAGGATTCCAGGTAAACCCCCCCCAGTGCAGAGCAGAGGAGAGAATCTCCCTCGTCTTTCTGACCACGCTCTTGAACGCACCTCACGGTCCCATTGGCCTTCTTGGCTACCAGGGCACACTGCTGCCTCACGGTCCCCCTGCTGGCCACCAGGTCTTTCTCCTCAGGGCACCTTTCCAGCTCCCAGCCTGTATTGATGTGTGTGGTTATTCCTCCCCAGGTGCAGGACCCTACGTTGCCTGCATACAACCTCATCACGTTCCTCACTGCCCAGCTCTGCCTGTCCAGGTGTCACTGAATGGCAGCACAGCCTTCTGCTGTGCCACAGCCACTCCTCACAGCTTCGTACCATCAGCAAACACTGAGGGTAAACTCTGTCCCTTCATCCTTATCGTTAATAAAGACGTTGATCAAGACAGGGGTATGCATCTGAACGGCTGTTTTCAACCCTTTTTTTACGAACTTTTTTTTTTATTATTATTTTAAATTATTATTTAGTTAGTTTAGTTTTGGTTTTGGGAGAGGGTGGGAGCTGGTTTCTGTTCCACATCTCACAGCACCAAGCTTCTGCAAAGTAACGAGTCCAAAGCACAAGTGGAAACTACCAGTAGGAGATGAATCATCTCATTAAAAAAAAAAAAAAGTAGAAAATACCACTTCTTGATCATACCACTGCCAAACCCCAGCACTTCTATGAAGCTTCCTAAATCACGGTTCTGTTTTTCTTAAACATTTGTCTCTTGGAATCTACTTTCTTGCCCATACCCTTTAAGATGTGCCTTATCATATTTTCAAGCTTATCTTTAATATAACAGGTAGGAGTTTGGAGGTTTGCTGATTTTAGCACATTTTCCTAAGGAAAGGGGGTTTCACTGCCACATAGGTTGCTTCTTATCCCTTCTGCCATAACTTTTGAACCAAAAGTTGGCAGATTCTGACCAAGTCTGACACAAAGATTCAAATATATTAATTTCCTGTTTGATGAAAACAACACAGAGGCTATAAAATAAGTTTCTGGTGTCCAGAAGGCCAACGGTTTTATGCAATGGTGAGTGATGAAACCAATGCCTAATTTTTTTTTTAAACACTTATTATTTTTTCTACCAGTTGTCCAGCCTTTGTTTTCTCCCTTAGTTTGAGGTTTGTACATGTTACAGTCTGCTGTAATAAATCAGCACTGGAAAGGGCTGTAGGTAAACCTGTAAATCTCATTTACAGAAATTCTCCAGCCATCTTTTCTGCTCTTCCACCTTTTCCTTGAGATTGTTGGATTTATAACAAACATATATTTTCATTCCATATGGCTGTAATGGTCAATCAGCATTTAGCTGTTGCTTTGGATGCTCTTATAGGATGCAGTAGTTAGAAGGTGTGCAGATTTTTTGTCGTGCTGATAGAATTGATTAGGAATGCCAAAGTGCAGAAGGGGGAACTGAACAACTCTGTAGTGGAGGAAATGTTTGCAGGCAGAGGATTTCAGTCCAATGCTGAAAAATAGAAGGGGGTATAGAGAATGAGCCAAGCTTATGGACAAAACATGGCTTAAAGAATGGTTGAAATAACTCCCAAAAATGAAAGCAAAAGAAGCTGGGCTGAGCAGCCTCCTTCTGCATTAGATTTCCATTACAAAGTGAGCCACATAATACATAGTGGATCAAGTGTGATGGTACCAATGCTCCCAGGAGATCCCCATCATGTTCTGTCCCCGGTGTGATGGGTCACATGTTGTATTTTCCAGTATATATCTCTAAGATTCAGTTCTGTTTGTATATTTGTGTAAAAATAGATTCATTCATTCTGAAACTGAAGGGAAATGGAATGTTTTTGAAACAAAAGAAATCCAGAAGACATCTGTGTAATGGTTAATACCATCCACAGTATGGATATATATTACACAGATTAGCAAATTTCAATCCAGAAAGATTCACCTAGCAGTAATTCTAATGCATTAACACAGGTCTAATGACTGTCTCTTTGATGAAGAGGGAAAGCTGAGCCTGGCTGAGTGGAGAAGTGAGACCAGGGAACGCTGGAAATAACAACGAGGTCACCACTCGACACCACAGCAGCCCGCATCAAGGAGGAAGGATGGTTTGAAGGACAGTTTGGAAACAGAATGGAAACCAACAAATTTATTTGCCCTGAAGAGAAAGGGGTTGAGTTCAGGAAAGATGAGAGATAACATCCAAATGTCATCACTGTGAATATGGTGCAGTACCTCTCTCTCAGTCCAGGGGATCCACTTCTCTTGTAATCTGGACACATTACATGTTTTCAAGGGTAAGTGATAAGACCTTGAAAGCATACATTTCCAATTCTTAAACTTCTAATGAGTGTTTTCTTTGCTGTAGAAGACACTAACTTTTTCAGTACTTCTTTCTGTCACCACAAGCAGGATCCAGAAGGTTTTGTTTGTCAGAGAATCGCTTTCTGATCAGTGGGAGTATCAGGCTTCACTGAGGCTGATGAGCACTTTATCTCCCTGTTCACACTCAGTGATGAACTTCTGGCATTGAGTGGCAAAGGAAAATGAGGGATATTGTTACCCTGTATCATAGACTGAGCTTATCAGGGTGATGCAGAAGGTGTATTGTAAGCTTAAGAAGTTCCTTGCCATTTGAATAGGAGCAGGGCCTTCAGTATTGGATGGACAGGGCATGGCTGTGTTGTGGGTGTTGAGTTTTTGGTAGCTCAGCTCCCATTCTTTGTTGTGCTGCTCACTGCTCTCCCACTCCTGCCTGTAACTGCAGCAGTTTGCTTTCTGAGTTGGAAACAGCCCTGCCAGAACTTTCATTGCTGAGGGAAAGCTCAAAGGAATCAGAAGGAGCCAAAAAGGACAGGAGAGGAAAGGATGTGATGGTTGTGGTTCAGTAGACTTTGCAGACTTTCTAAGTAGAACAGTTCTGAATGAGGCTTGGAGATAATAAAAGAAATCATGAATGAAAAATGATAAATAATACAAAAATTCATATTTTTACTATGTTAATAGAAAAAATGATGATGTTTAATTTTTGTTAACAAACCACATGGCATGAAAGAAGCAATCATAATTATCTCCTTTTAGCAAAAACAACTGGCAAGATACCATATTTTTCTAACTACTCAGGGTACAAAGAAGTAGCACTAATGACAAGTGTGTCAGCAATATTAGATTGAGCACTCAAAAATCAGCCCGTGAACTCAGCTGTTGGTTTTCATAAACATGCTTGAACCAGGCTAAGAAAAACAAGCTGCTGTTTGCACATGCAAGGCTTTAGATAAATAATTAAGGGAAGTTTGTGCAAACTGGGAGGATAATAAGCCTGACCTCATACAGTCACTGCTGTAGTTACAGTTTGATAAATAAAGAGCGCACCAGCTCTGGCAGCTGGCAGGCCAGCACGTCTCACTGTCATTATAAGCTGCTCCATAAGCTGTGGAATTAATGACATCCTTTCCTTAGGGCAACCAGGGCCTTAGCTGAGACCTTAATGTGGTCTCCCCCCCACCCAATTGTCAACTCTCACAACTCTTCAAGGGAACTTAGGGAATATCTTTGAGACCTTTTATCCTTTGCTCAACTTTGCATGACATTGGCTAACCAGTTCATAAGCTGCTTATAATGTCTTTGCACATTCTGTCCCTAGGAAATGAGGCTAAAAATGGAAGGAGAAGAATCTTCAGGCAGTAAAGAAGACAACTTGCAAACAGCAAAACTTTCTGCGGCCAGCTGTAGGGTGAAGAAAAAGCTCTGCATGCTGTTTGCAACAGAAACTGAGCACATAGCCATTCCTGGAACCAACAGCTGTGTTCGAGGTAAGATAACAGATATGGTTCCCTCAGCTGCACAGAAGCTATTAGAAACTTTGCTCTGAAACTCATTTGTTCTGCATCAAAATGATTCTCCCATAACTGCTGCCTCCTACCTCTCTTTTAGGGAGATGGAAACCCCCACTGTGAAGGGGGGTAATTTCCAATTGCTCAGGATGGAATATTTCCTAGCTCTGCTGGAGAAGCAGCACCTTGGGCTCGGAAGTGCTGGTAAGAGAGTTTTGCAGAGGGGCCTCAGTGCTCAAACACCTTGAGGGAAAGTCTTGAGCTTATTGCATTGTTTGACTGACCCACATCTGGTTGTAACTAGAATAAGAGGTTCCCCCTATTCCTGTTAAACTGGTGTGTCAGCCCCACAGCTGCTTTGCAGAATGCAGTGAGAACAGTGGTTTTCATCAGCCCAACACCACCTTACAAAGCATGGCCTGCCTCAATAAAAGTGAGATAAAGCCACGACGGGGTAAAAGAACTTAAAGTTAAAAGCTCTGCCTTCTCCTATTTACTTTTTTTTACACATGGGCTCAATTTTCACATAAGGGAATATCTACAGAGCTTAAATTTTTGGTGGTGGAAATAGTATTGAAACATTACAGTTATTTCCACCTTTCTACCACACAGAGATTCAGTCAAGAATTTGTATTTCCGTTCTCAGTAAAGATAGAAAACATGATAAGCTGTGGAACCCTCACGTGAAGCACAATTTAAATATAAAATGTAGAAGAACGAACCTTACGTCAAACAGAATAACCAGGACCTACACTAACACTGCAGGGAAGAGACCAAAAAAAAAAACAGTTTTGAGGCAAATACAAAGGACTTTTCTAAGTTTGCAAGTTCATTAATCCCAGCTACAAGATGCTGACCTGCAGGGAAATGAGGAATCACAGAATCACAGAATCGTAGGGGTTGGAAGGGACTTCCAGAGATCATCGAGTCCAACCCCCCTGCCAAAGCAGGATCCCTACACCAGGTAAAAGCTGCATATCTGGTAGGAAAATCAGATAAATCATCACAGAGAAAATCCTAAGCTGTCCTGCTAGTCTTGGGCTTTTTATTTGCAGTATGTGGCTGAAAACAGTGGTATTTCACACAACAGCTGCATTTCTACCACTTACATATGCAAGAGACCTGACTTTTTGGGTTAGTTTGAAGGGAGAGTTCTAAAAAGAAATAAAACCAACCAAAATTAGTATGTAAATTAAGGTGCACGAAGAAGAAAGTTTACGTGAATGAACAGACTTGAAAAGTCACACTGGTTTATTGTGAACAGAAGCATTCTTAAAAGGGTGAGCGGGTTTACTAATGGCAGCTCTTTGAAAAGTGCCTTTTGCAAACCACATCAAGGAAACATTCTCAATTCAATTCCACAGCAATAAGCACAAATCCTGCCATGACAAATACCTGTGGTTTTATCACCTGCATGCTCACTGTATCAGTAGCAGTACAGTGTGGGAGAAGTCCACTTTTGCCTGCACTATATTGACACATTTTTCTTTGACAAAAGAACTGATTTCATAAGGGAGGAAAAATTAGACCAGGATTCCCTGTGCATGGCTGACAACATTTTGTAGAAAAAGATATAATCTTTTATCTTTTATAATCTTTCATACCCTGTCACCATACTCACAGCTCGTTGTGTGAGTCTGAATGTTCTGGACTGCACCATCTGCTGTTTCTGTCATATGATGGCAGCAAAGTGGTACCCAAAGCACTCTTCCTTCCCACTTTAAGACTCAGCACAAACATCCTCCCAAAGAACCAAAAACCTGTGCAAAAATCAGGTTATTTTCCAGAAGACTGTCTCCTGTAGGGCTGCAAAGGGTATAGAGCAATGAAGAAAGCTCTCTGGAAACCTAATGTTGAAGTAATTATCCTTCAAAAACAATCAGCCTGCTGCATTTTATTTCCCTGTATGGACTTTGTAATGGAGCATCTTGCTTGATGAGAAAAAAAGCCTTTGTGTGGTATGTTTAGACATCCTGTAGTTTGGGTCAGTAACTTCTGGGCTGATATTTCTGATTACTGCAGGTGGAGAGAAACATGGCAGTGAACCTCCTCTGCAGCTCTTTGCTCTGCAAACTCGTTCATTTTACTCTCATAGCAGTGAGCAGAGGGGTGAAGGAAAGTGGAACAGTGGTAAAGGTAATGCATTACTATACCTAATGACCAATGCAAAAATTGTGGAAGAAATCTGTAAATCTGCTGTACAATCCCAGCAGTGATGCTGCCCTGGGGACAAGTGGTAGTGTCATCCCCTTTGGCCAAGTCATCCAACTCTACTTGGGACTGTCATAGATGGTGCCACCTATTTTGTGTTTTTTTACTTCATCATAGCAGTGTGGTGTTTGAAACACATCATCGTAACTGAACAAATGAAAACACATCAGCTCAGCTTGAGGCATCTGGGTGAGATGAAGACCTATCAAGGCTGAGATACTCTTACAGCAGACTTAACAAGCTGAGGGACAGCACAGACTCAGATCTCTCATACACAGTTGTAAATCTGCAGTGAAAACTAGGTGAGGCCACTCCTGAATGAGATGCTGGAACCTGGTCCTCGGCCTCCAAGAAGTCACAACAAAGGGAAGACCTCCAAGAAAATGAGAGCTGAGGTGTCTGGATGGTTACAGAGAGGCCTGGACTCTTTAAGAAGGTGATTTTCTTCCAGCTTTACTTAAAATTATCTTCCTTTCCTCACTGTGTAGCACCTGGAGTCCCTGCTGGGATGGGACGGGTGAGTGGTGTCTCTCACTGGTAGCGCAGCAGCTCTTCCCAGCGGATGGGCTGGGAAAACACCTCCCGCTCCAGCCACAGCTCGTAGGAGTAGTGGAAGTCCTCAGGGAGCTCCAGCCTCTGGCCCAGCACACTCTGCAGGCAGTTGTCCACTGGTGCAAACTCTGAATCCTGAGGTTTGTCGTATCTTCGACTGTTGAAGGCTTCGATGCTGGCTCTCAGTGTGCATTCTTCAGCCTGGAAGTCCCACGGCCTCGCGTCAATATCTAGGTTTAAGATCAAGCAAGACCATAGAATTGTGGAAAAAAATAAGGTTTGAACAAAAGAAAGGATGAAGGTTTTACAGCATCACATGCCTGCATTGATTCGCCAGTTCATTATTCTTAATTCTATGATAATTATTCATAACGAGTTCCCATTATGCATGCATTTTAATTTGAAGTAATTAACTGAAATGTATTAAAATCACTTGTAAATTCAGCAGAGTTAGAAAGCTTCCTATAGAAATGCAATTATTTCTGTTCTCTGCTTTGAGGACTCCAAACAATTACAAAGCTGCTTTTTTTGGAAAGGCCTCATCACTTCTGCTCAAAATCTCCACAGACTTCTCAAGCAGAGATCAAGATTTAAAGCACACTGCTAAAACGTCACAAATTGTAACCTATTGAAAAAAAAAAATTGAAATTTTGGGCAAATTTAACAGTGTTGGAAAACTAGGAATTGATTATAATAACCACAATACTTTAAATATGTTAATATTGTATAAACACAAAAAAGTAGTGTTTTGATATTTGGCCTTTAGGAGCTCTAGCTCTACACAAACTAATCGTTTGCTCCATGAAGATTTAAAAAATTCATGCCAAGGTCTCAGCAGCACTCAAAGGAGGGAAAAGCCTTCTAAAAATACAGATTTAGAGCACAGAAGAGCTGTTTAAACAGACCAGCATGTCCAGTCTGTGCTTCAGCTTAGGGATTCACAACCTTGGGCTGTAACCAACACTGTCTCTCTGGTGTGAAGTATGGGGTCACTGCTTGGATTTCCCCTCTGTGGCCATCCCAGGCATGCAAGTTTGGTGCAGAGCAGTTTGATGCCTCAGTGGTAAAAGCAATCAATTTGGGAAAATGAAAATGGAGGGCTGGGTTTGGTAGAAACTCATCTTGGAGACCTGACTGCATCCCATCCTGATCCGATTATTCCTCATGCAATTAGTTCCCTCCTGATGGTGCATTAAGGCTTCAGAAAAAGAAAACTCGAGTGCTGGCCCAAGCAAATTTATAGCTTTCCAACAGGTCCTAGGGCTAAACTTGCCCATGAACAGGACTCCTCCCAGCACGACTCACCGTTGCCATACGCCCAGTCGTCGTTCATGCGGTGCCGCACCTTCTGGTAGATGGCTGACATGGTCTTCATGTTGCTCTTTCTCCACTGGCGCCCCAGATATTTGGTCTGGATTTTCAAAAGTTTGAGAACGTACAGCTGCATCATGGCCTGCTTCACCTTCAGAGCTCGCTTCAGTATCGGGGCCGACTTGAAGACTACTAGCATCTGCCAAAAAAGGCATTGGAAATCAGTGCAGTGAGCTCAACAAAACAATGGAAATGCTGCCTGCACAGCTCTGGGCAGCACCACTTTGTAAAAGCATGTGGAAGACAAAGAAGTGGTCTTTGTCCTTAGATGTCAGCACTGGGTCCACTGTTGTCCACATTGGGTTAACTCATTCATTAGTGGCTTGGATGAAGGTACATATTGCCTCCTTGACAACTTTACTACGGTGATCCTCCTTACCATTGTCCTCGAGTGCTTCCACTTGGTCAGCTTGTTGAGGATCCTCAACAGGTTAATGCAGGAGAATAGGTTTCTCCAGCAGAACTGGTTGTTGTCTCCACCTTCCTGCAAGAAAAGAGGGGAAAGCAGAGGCCTGATGGTTCACCATCACACTGCCAATGGCACGCAGAGACAGGGAAACCCTTCTGAAATCCTCAGTGCTTTAATTTGTGCTTTGGTTTAGAGTGTTATCCAGGAGAAATCACATTACTTTGTCATGGGAAACGTGTGTTTTGGGAGATTTGTATTGATTGTTTGCCAAGCAAATTACAGCCTAGTCATCACTGCTCAGCAAACATTTTGTTGCTAATTATATAAATCACTTCGTAAATTACTGCATGCTTAGAAGACAGTATAGATAAATAAGAAGAAATGACAAAATAATAAAGGATGGAAACCAGCAACATTTCTGTTGGGAGAACAAGATTTTTCTATAGCAAAGATCCAGCTTAAGTGCAGCCCATGCATTATTTTAAATATGAGCTGCATGTCAGCACCCCCAGCACCAGTGTGTGGAAGTAGTGCCCGTGGCACATCTGAGCACTAATTCCATCAGCACAGCCACTTGGTTTATGCTTGCACAGCGCTGAGTGCAGCACAAGTGTCCCACAGATAACCTATTTGGGTAAGAGCAGAAACAAGTGCTGCTTATTTTATAGGCCAGCTTAAAAGCCAGCTTAATAAGCCAGTTACAGCAAGCTACAGCCTTAATGACCACTGGAAAAATCACAGCCTGTTGAGAATTCCACCTTCTGGGCATCTTCAGGTGAAGAGTGTGATTAGACACTGATGGAAGTGGCAGAAAACAAGATTTACCCAAGAAAATGCTGTCAGCATGATGTCTTTGTTCTTAAAGGCAAGCACCAAGCATATCACCCCAGTAAGCAGTGGTGAAAGCAGTGGCATGCATATCATTGGAGGCCAAAAAAGAAGGAATCTGCTGATAGGAAACACTTAAATTCTGGGATTTGGTGAAAGTCATTCTGAGCAAATGCGCTTTTCTGCCAGCAGAGGCCATGGCTGTGTGGGAGGCTTTTCCCAACACGACCACCTCTGGATACTGCAGCTGAGTTATTTATCCATTCCTATGTAGGAACAGCAGTTCCCACAGTCCCTACTCTGGAAACAGCACTGCTGAGTATGTCCTAGTTTTTCACAGAAGCAAACCAAGCACATCCTGCTGTGTGCAGCCCCCTGAAAGCATTATCATCTGTTACATCTGCTAGGAAATGTGTTACGGCTGTGATGTTAAATCAGTGCATCGGAGTTAAAACAAACAAAAAACAGCATAAAATATTGGTTAAGGAACAGAAACACAACTACATGCACAAACGTCACTGAAGAACCAGGGTGTGTTTGATTTCTATAAATAGGCACTGGATTTTTATAGAAATAGACCTAACATCATTCCTGGACCTGGAGGCAATAAATAAACAAGGAAGTGAAGAAGGAAAAGAAGAAGAGGAGAAGAAAAAAAAAAATAGTAAAAATAAAAAGAAGGGTAAAAAAGAGAAGGAAAAAGGGGGGAGAAGAAAAAAAAGGAGAAAGGAAAAGGGAGGAAAGAAAAGGGAGGAAGGAGAAAGGGAGAAAGAAAGGGAAAAAGAAAAAGGGAAGAAAAGAAAAAAAAAGGAAAAAAGGAGAAAATGAAAAGGGAAAAAAGAAAAAAAAGGGGAAAAAAGAAAAAAGGGGGGAAAAAGAAAAAAGAAAAAAAAAAGGAAACAAGAGAAAGGAAAAAAAGAAACAAGGATAAAAGGTAAAAAAGCACTGTGTGCCACCAGAGCTCACAACGATGTGTCACTAGATGTCCCCATCGGGCCAGCTTTAGCTCATCAAAACCATAAGAAGCCTTTCCCTTTATTTCTATGATTGCAACGTGTCCACAGCCAAGGAAAATGACATAGGCTCGAGATTTTAGCAGCAGCAATGAGAGAAATTTTCAAGTCTTTATGCAGGAGAAGCTCTATTTTTGGGGCTGGCTGGATGCAAAGAACACAAAAAATAAAAGAAAAATCCTTCCTCGCCCACCTGCATAGAGCAGTACTGTCACAAGTGCTCTGCTTTGCTTACCAGGCTTTCTGCAGTGAGCTCAGGCAACTCGTGGACTGTACAGTGCGGGTAATCCAGGACAGAGATGCTGTGGAAGATGGGAAAGAAGAGACTCATTAAGGACAGTCAGTGTGTGAGCCTAATGAGCGGAGCCCTCCCTGCTCCCAGGCATGCATTAGTGGGGGCTCGGAGGAGATGGATCCATTAGGACATGGCAGATCAGTTATTTGTGTGCATACTAAAAAAAACCAAAACAAACAAACAAAAAAACCAACAAACAAACAGACAAAAACTCATACAAAAAGCAAATTTTAGATTAAAATGGAAATATCTGACAGCAAGAATATTACCAGCAAGATAATGCATGGCAAGGGCATCAAGTCTTGCCCAAGAAGGTTTCCAAGCCTTCTGGATCTACTGCCTTTGTAAGAGTAGCTAACCAAAAAACCCTCAAGTGTACACATATATATATATTATATGTGTATGTGTGTATAATAATAAAATGTACTCTACACATACATTTTATTTATATATATAAATGTTTGGGGGTTTTTTTTGAGAGCATGTGGCATGGAGAGGGTTCAGTGCCACGCGCTGTCGTTGTATGAGCATCGTGCTGTATTTCCCACTGCAGCTTCACTGGCCATCACATGTGTGGCTGTACCTGTTTTTGGCAGTGATATAGGACATGATGTTTTGGTTGAAGAACTTCAGGATCAGCGGGATGCAGTTGGCAAACACCAAATGCTGGGACACATACTCAAACTGGGGGAGAGAAGCGAAACGGATCAGCGTCAACAGGAACAACTGGAAGTGTGTGCTGGGAATTTCCATTTCCAGTTTGGATGGTTTGCTCTGAACCTGGCAGACCATCTTCCTTGTGCACAAGTCTGCTGTGTAAGGCTTGCATCACATACAACGACTCCCAGCAGCTGGAAAAGTGCATTGCCATGCAGAATTTCATGGCAAGACTCTAGAAGAGGTGCACTCAGCGACTGCAGGTCACCTTTCAAGGTAAAAACTGTTGGAAAGCATTATATACGGAAGGAAAAGGAGGAGATTAACTACTACAAAGGATGTAGGGTAACTTCCCTTCCCAGATTACAGAATCATAGAATTGTAGGGGCTGGAAGGACCTCTAGAGATCATTGACTTCAACCCCTCTGCCAAAGCAGGCTCCCTAGACCAGTTTGCACAGATCAGCGTCACCAAGAGCAGCCAGCAGCTTGAGAAGCTTGGACAGCTAACCCAAAATCGGAACGAAGGGGAAAACATTAAAGAAACCCAACAACAGACCTTCTCCAGACCTAACACTGGTCTGCAGGAGTGCTGCCACCCGGGAGAAGAAATGCAAGGAGCTGCTTTGGTGTGAAAAAAGGGACTGAATGCAAGCTAGGATATAGGGGAACGTGGAACAAAGGTAGGATTGGAAATATATATTTTTTTTATTCTATCCAATCCAATACATGGATTTCTGTTAATCCTCCTATATATGTCATAGCATACATGGGTTTGTATCACACTGAAACTTCTTTTAAAAAGAAAAAGAAAAAAAAAAAAAGAAAAAAAAAAAAATTCACCTACTAATTGTTTAGCACAAATCAAACTGCATCTAGGACCCTGAGTTTGTTCTACTGAAACCAGAGCCCTGAGAGCTCAACCCTGTTGAGGACCTCATGACTCCTGCCCAGCCCCACTGCTTGTCATGGAGGTTGGCAGAGCAGGAGGGGTCCTGCTTAGCTCCTCCCCACCCCTGCTGCCATGAGAGGCTCTTTCTCCTGACATCTCCGGAATTCTAACCCGATTAACCACAGCATGTGTTCTTCCACAAATCTGAGAGCTCTTTCCACATGAGTGGAAACCACCCTGTCAACACACAGCCAAAGATATATTGCAGGCAGGTTATTTCTGCATGAGTAACACTCTAAAAATCATGTCCCAGGGCGAGGGTTCATCCCTACAATCCACAGCTCCTCTTGGAAACACTTCCTGGAGAGCTCCTCTAAGGATGTGCCAACCCTGTGAGCACCAACCATGAGTCCTTCTCGGTGCTCACCTGGTAAATATGGTTCAGCTTGAAATGCTTGAGGAGTAACAGCAGCAGTGCCGAGATGCTCTTCACAATAATCTCCTTGTGCCTGTTCACATCAATCCCCAGCTTCATGCTCTGCAGGACGGTGATGCTGGCGTGGTGGGGGAAGATCAAGGCTAACCATCAACCTGATGGGACCATCACCGACCCACATCCCTTGGAACATCTGGCCATCCCCACATCTGGAGCTCTGTGCCCACCTCTGGAGCCCCCTGAATCTATTTGCAACCCCCAGCTTTCCTACTTGATCCAAGGCTGAAACAGCTGAAGGTATCTCCTTGAGGACTTACGGCATCTCCTCAGGCAAGACATCTGCCAGGATGTTGATGGAGTCAGTCTTGGCCTTGGAGGTGGGTGCTGCAGCAAGGAGGATCTTCAGCAGAGCGATCTGCAGAGGAGGCAGGTGTGAAGGCAAAGGGGGAATCCCTTCCTTTTCCTTGGACAACTTCAAGCCAGCTCTAGAAGGTTCCACCAGCCCAAGGTCCACTCATGGTCATAGGCCAGCTATATCAATGCTCAGCTCTTCTTTTGTACCCAACTGCAGGCAGCAGGGCAGCTCAGCTTTTGTATTAAGTTGATTCATTGAGCTCTAGTGGTATGGATAAAAGCGCTGCAGCTTAATGTATTTAAATGTTTGTCTCTCCCTACAGATAGACTGTAGGTGGCCCAAAAAGCATCTTCACAGAGCTGAATTTTGATTTTTTTTTAATTGTATTGTGTGGGAGTCTCTTGAGGCCATAGGAAAGATGGAAGGGATGCCTACTGTCCTATCTCCAAACATTGGACCATACTCCTGGTTATCTGCTCACCTTGATCCTATGGAACCCTCCTCTGGGAGATGACTTTCCACCCAGCTCTACTCTTGATTCCCACCAAAATCCCAGTGTTCAGATCCCAAACACCCACAGACTCTCTTTTATTTCTAAGAAACACAGGCTTACCATATACTGGGGGAGATTGTATAGCATTGCTCGATACAAGACCTCACAAGGGGTTTCTTGAACTTCCTCTTCACCCTAGCACAGGGAAACATTGAAAACAAGGGGGGAAAATGTATTACTGGTCTGCAAACTTGAGATATGTCAATAACCTCCCCAAAAATCAACTAGGGGACTTAATGATTGGGTCACGATGTGGTGTTTGAGAGCATTGGAGGTGTGACCAAACTGTACAGGTTTCTGTGGCATCTCTTCCCTGTGTCCATGTAGTGATGGGGAGCATATCTTACCAGAGACATGGGGCACTTCTCCAGCTCCTCCTCATTCTTGATCTGGATATCTGAGATGGAAATGTACTTGTGCTGGAAAAATACACAGAGGCAGAGCAATGATACAAATACAGGATGCAACACCAAGCAACGACAGCATTTGCTGAGCTTGCTGAGGACTGAATCTGCATCAGACCTTTACTGTGGGCTGAGAGCATGCACGTAAGCAACTTCAAACCTTTTGTGAGTGATGTACCACCAAGCTGATGCATATGAAACTTGATGTCCTGCAGTCTCTCTAAGGCTATGGTGATCTTGGCCAAAGATTCCCTCATTTCTGTGAAATGCCCATTGGTCTGATCCCATCTTAGAGCCATTGTCTCACCTGCTTCAGTGTCTTCACACTCTCATGAATGGGCCGTGGCAGCCCTATCAGGGTCTCAGTGTCCCTGGAGGGGAAGGCAGAAGGTAAATACAAGGCTAGGATGAGATAATATGGGAGGTATGCCCTTAAATTGCAACAGGGGTCGTTCAGGTAACTAGGAACAATTTCTTCTCCAAAAGGAACCATGCAGATGTGGCACCTGGGGACATGGTGGTGATGGGTTGATGGTTGGACCTGACGATCTTAGTGGTCTTTTCCAACCTTAATAATTCTATGACTGCAAGACTGGAGAGGAGATCTGGGGCGCTTCTATCACATATGAGCATCACACACTGCACACAGCTGGTGAGCTGAAACAGCCCAGTCTCTGTGGGTGCTTGCTGGCAGATAAATGACACCGAGGGGAGCTGGGGGACAGGCTCTGGTGGCCCCTCACACATGACACTCACTGTCCCAGAGTGAAGCCGATGAATTTGTTCCTGCTTGCCTCCAGGAAATGTTCAATGTCCTTCTGCCTGATGCAGCATCAGAGAAATGAAAACAAGGAGAAAAACACACATATATCTGAACTGCTAAGAAAGGGCACTGGTGCAGGACAAGAAACTTTTAGCTTTCTGGGATCAATTTCTAGAGGTATTCATAGCTACTGACTACAGCCACCATCGGTCACATTGGTTAGGAACAACGTGAACCAAAACCAGAGCTGAGCATGTTGACATGGAGCGGAATGGCACCATGTGTGCTCCTGTGTTTCACAGATAGTGGATGAGATCAGCAGCAAAAAGCAAAAAGCAGCATGAGTGGATTTGAGAGATGGGACTGAAGATTTCACCCTCTTTTCCACCCCCCCCTCCCTCCATATCATAAGTAGCAGAATTGGTCTTGGGAGGGATAGCACCAATCCTTCATACTGTGCCATGTTTCTCCTGTTTCTCACCCTCTAGAGCAAGGCCCCTCAAGAAGATTTCATTTGGCCACACACGAGTACCACTCAGTGCATAAGGGGCACGCTCATTAACCACACAATTAACCTAGGGCACTGCCCTACTTAAACCCTTGCAGCTGGCTGGGAAAGCTCCCAGCCCATGCTCTCTATCCCTTCCCATTGTACCCGGGATTCCCCAAATGGCATTTCCATGCATTGGCCAGCCTTGGCTAGGGCTGGGGAGGATGGCAATGACATCCCACGATCTACCTGACTTTGGGGGCCCAGGGCAGCCCTTTGGGGAATGACACCCGTTCAATAGGAGGACGCTGGGCTGGTATGGTAGGGAGGAGAGCATCCCGCTCCATCAGGTCCAGCTCCCCCTCGATCCCACCATCCACTTCATCACCCTCCTCTTCATCAACTCCTGTTTCATCATTCTTGAAGGGGTCTCTCTCGTTGTAGATATCCAGGCTGTCTTGCTTCATCAGGGGCTGAAGCAGAAGGGGATGGAGAAATCAATGTCATGCCATGGATTCCAGTTTCCTCCCAGCCAACAGCTCCTGACATCTCCATCCTAAAGGACCGAGCTCCCAGATATGCCCTGGGTGAGAATTTCCCTTCTGGCTGCCACCAGAACCTGGACAAGAAACAACCCCTCTCTGTACAACAAACTCTCTGTCACCCCCTTTTCCATTTTAATTATTGGAGATACCATCCAACATCCTCCCCCAGCAAAAGAGGCATTTTCATCCTCTGATCACACCACCACAACACCAGGAACTGAGCTAAAAAAAGACAAGTTTGCTGCAAGCAGTTTGGTCTCAGCGCTTATCAGCCCTTTGCCATAGGGTCAGGGCTGTCTGCTCACTTCCTCCATCTCGACTGCTTCACAGGGCTGATCTGCAGCAGCTTTTATTTTTCAGGTTTTTAGAAAATGGGAAGGAAAATGGCATCTCGAGTGGATGATAGGTCCTGTTGGAGAAGGGTTGGCCATGCCCAAGGAGGAGGCCCTTACCCGGCGGCTGCGGTGCCCACGCTTCTGCTGCTGCTCAGCCAGCTCAATGGAGCAGGTGGGCGGTGAGGCAGCACGCATGCTGCGCATCACCTGGATGCTGTCCTCGGGCAGGGGTGGCAGCCCAAGCTCCTCCCTCCTCCTCACCTTCATCGTCTGCAGGGTTTCAAATCCTCCCAGCGTGAACTAGGGACCAAAGAGAGAGGTGGCAGAGTGGGGAGGGGATGGACTCCAGGGCTGCGCAGCAATTTGGGGCTTCTAGGTGGAGGTTATCAAAGCGGGGAGTTGAGAAGGAAGAAAGCACAGCACTTTCTCCAGCCTTCTTCTGCACCCTGCATCCCAGAAATCCCAAAAGAAATGGTTCACCTTTGGTCATCCCCTTGTGCCATCCTAAATCACAAAATGGTTGGAGTCGGAAAGGACCCTGAGAGGTCACCCACTCCAACTGCAATGACAGGGACATCTACAGCTCGATGACGTTGCCCCACAATGTTTGGATTAAGCACTGGGTTGCATCCAGCACCATTCACTGCATTCCCAGTGCCTGGAAAAGGAAATTGGGCACCCACCAGGAGGACCTTCCAGAGCAGGAGCAGGACCTTTTTCATAGGAAAGTGTGGAGCGTGGCCGCTGCAGAACTTGGTCACCATCGTGAAGAGCAAGAGAGCAAAGGGCTCATCAGAGCGCATGGGAAAACCTGGCAGGGAGGGAGCAGGAGTGAGTTTGGGGCTGTCCCCATCCCAGGGGTGTCCCCACTGAAGGATACCGTGACCCCCATGGCTCACTCAGCTCTGTCCTGAAGGTCTCTCGGCAGGATTTCCACTCCGGGGGATCTGTTTCCAGTTCCACACGGATGTTCTCCACCAGCAGATACATAACGCTGAGCAGCACCCTTATGGGACAGTGCGGTGGAGACGTGACACATGGTCCCCAACCATCATCCCCAGTGGATCCCAGTGCCACCACCACGGGTACCTGAGCTCGGTGCTGTCGGCCAGTGAGATGGCTGGCTTCCGCAGCGCACTGCTGCATGCCTGGCTGTTGCTGTGGGGAAGGGGATGAGCTCAGTGGGGTGGCTCCTCATCCTCAGCCCACTCCCAAAATACAGCCATGGTGGTGGCCTCGGGGAGGAGAGTGAGAAGGAATGAGATGAGGAGAGTGAGGAGGACAGGGAGGAGAGGAAGATGAAGAAGATGAGGAGAATAAGATGAAAAGGAGGAGGGGAATGAGGACAATAAGACGAAGAAGAGGAGAGTGGAGAAGATGAGGAGGAGAGGAAGAGGGTGAGGAGGATCAAAGAAGGAGTGAGATGAAGAAGAGGAGGATGAGAATAAGATGAAGAATGTGAGGAGAATGAAGAAAACAGCAAAGATGAGGAGAATAAGATAAAAGAGGGTGAGGAGAATGAGGAGAAATAATATTATGAAGAGGGTAAGGATAATGAAGAGGAATAAGACAAAGGGTGAGGAAGGATAGGGGTGAGGAAGATGAGAATAAGATGAAGAAGGTGAAGGATGGGGAGAAAGAATAAGATGAAGAAGAGGTCCAGGAGGATGAGGGAGAGAGGAAGATGAGGATGGAAAAAAGACTAAGATGAAGAGGAGGGTGTGGAGGAGAATAGGACGAAAAGGAGGGTGAGGAAGGTGGGAGCTGTCCTCTCACTCTATCTCCATGCTGAGCAGCTCCAGGAAGGCATTGAAGGTGCCCAGCTGATACAGCAGGAAGCTGTTGTGCCGTGACCAGTGCAGGACATCGCCTTCGCTCTCACAGTCTCCAAACACTCCTGGGGAGGCCCAGGGAAGAATGTGGTCAGCGACTGCCGCCCTGGGACCCCCCAGGATCTCTCTGGTCTCCCAAGACCTCAGGTCCAGGCTGAGCCAGGTGCTCACCCTGTGCCAGGTAAAGGATGGCCCGCGCTGCCCGCAGCCGCCGCTCCCTGCTGACCACCTCCAGCCCCTCCAGCAGCCGCAGGACTTGGGCCCTCTGCTGCGCTTTGTCCAGCTCAGGCCACTGCCGGCCCCGCGCTGCAGAGGGGACAGAGCGATGTGTGGGCCATAGGGCAGCCCTGTGCCATGGGGCACTGAACACAGAGCCCATACCTTGGGGGCAAAACTCCTCCTCGAAGCATCGCCGGTTGGTGCTGAGCTCGGGCTCCTCAGTGTAGCTGTACAGCTCTGCTGGAACAGGGTCAGCGGTTACCGGAAAGGTTTTCACCCCTCTTATCACCACCAAATTCCTCTGAGATATCCCCATGTGCCCAAGATGTGGAGCAGAACCCCAGCATTGTCCTGGAGCTCTCTGTGAGCTACACTGGGCACTGGGTTCCCACTCAACACTTCCACATCCATCCATTTCATGCTGTCATGGGGCAATGGGAAGACTGCAGATATCCCAACGTGGCATTAAAATCCAATAAAACCAACTGGGACACAGAGCCTTACAGCAGCTCTCCCGGTGGGTGCTCATGGGTTAATGGGGACAGTGCTGATATCTCAATGTCCCTGAGCTCTTTTAGAGCTCCACTGGGCATTGGGTTCTGACTCAACGCTCCCAAACCCATTGTGTTTGATCCCATTTCGCATTGCCATGAGGCAATGGGGACAGCGTGGATATCCCAGTGTGGCATAAGATCTGGGACCCCCAGAGCCATGCAGGAGCCCCACAGCCACACCTAAGGGAACTTCCCATCTCCCCCTCCCCACTGCCCCATTGCATCTGCAGTGCCATAGGAATTTTTTTGGAGGGTAATTTTGCCCCAGTAATTTTGCAAACAGCTCCAGGGTTTTGGGTTTTACGCCGTTTCCTACATCATTTTCCCTACACATTCCCTATGCTCCTATGTCATTAACCCCTCTGTTAATTAAAACCCTCCTCTCTCTCATTACCAGGATGCTGCCATCCCATAACCCCACCTGCGAGCTCTGCACCACGGCTGTCGGTGTCCCCGTACTCGAACTCCACGGTGGGGAAATCCACAGAGCCCTGCGTGTTTGGAAGTGGTGCGTAAAAATAGCAGCGAGCCCTGGCTGCAAACAGCCCCGTGCACGCTCAAATCCATGGCTTGCACCCTGCCAACAGCCCCACATGTGCACTCCGCTCCTCCCCAGTCTAAAACCTCCCCTCCGCTTTAAATCCATGGCTTTCATCCTGCACGCAGCCCCACGCACGCACTCCAGTCCATCCCAACGTAAACCCGCAGCTTTTACCCTGCAAACAGCCCCGTGCATGGACCGCAGTTCTTCCCGTCTTAAATCCATGGCTTCCATCCAGCACAGCCCCATGCACGCATCCACCCTGCACACAGCCCCACGTTTGCTCCCCAGTTCCTTCCAGCTTCAATTCCACGGTTGTCCCTTCTCCATACGTCCCTCCCCAGGTCTGCAGACCCCCCCCCCCCCTTCCCCGCTCCCCCATTTCCCGCAGCGGGAGCGGAACTGGAGCGTGAAACCCCGGGGAGGGAACGCATGAATGGGTCGTGGATCCATCGCTCCCCTCCGGCTGTGGGGCGGAGCGAGGTACATCGGCCCCATTTCTATGGGTACCCCCAAGATGTGCAGCACGGGGCTGAGCGCTCTGCACCAAAACTCCGCTTTTTTGCCCCATTTTTGCAGCCCAGGGCTGCGGATCCCCTTCGGGATCCTAAATCCCAGGAGGAATTCAGGACTAATCGGATCAGGGGGGCCACGAAGGGGGGAGTGAAGCCCCAGCGCACCCAACACAGGAGCCCACTGTGGGTCATGGCTGCTCCGCAGCGATGGGGTCAGGTCCCCCCGGTGCCATTGTGCCATTGGCCCCCGGGTGTTGGGGGTGCGGGAAGCAGCCACGGGCTCTGGGGGTCGTTGGGGTGCAGGGAGGGAGGGGACACACAACTAGGATAACCAGCACTGTGACCCTGGGGACTGCTCAGGGAACCCCCCCCCCCGGACCAGGACCCCCTCGGACTCCCCGTGCCTGTGGGATGGAAGCAATGCACCCACAGAACAACCGACCCCCTCTCCCTACCCGCAGCTCCACAGCACTCCCAGCCCCATTCTGTGTCCCCCGTCCTCACCTCGGACTCCTTCCGCTGTCCCCTGAAAAGCTCCCGGCCCTTAGCGGGGGGCTGCGCTGGAAGCTGCCCCATTCGGGCCCTCCCCGCGTTGGGGTTCGGGTTCGGGTTCGGTGCCCCCCCCGCCGCTTCCTCCATGCGTTGCGCCCTCCGCGCCCCTCCGCGCACGTGGGGGCCGCACCTCGCGCCCCGCCCCCCCGCTCCTATTGGCTGTTCAGTGGAGGGGGCGGAGCTGGGGGGACACACCTCCTCACCCCGTCCTGCTATTGGGTGGGGGTGGGGTGGGGTCTATGGGGGTGTTGGGGTGTAGAGGGGGCACCGTTGAGAGGATGGATACTGGGAACAAAGGGTGCTGGGGGGGCACGTGTTGGTGCCCATAGAAGGGGCTGGGGGGACTATGGGGTGACCCTATACTGTGGGAGCTGGAGGCTGTCAATGAGGCAGTGGGTTGAGGGGAGGACAGTGACCCCACACTGGTCCCATTCAACAAACATTTGCCACATCCAGATGGGGTTTGGGCTCCCATCCCATCCTCATCTCCACTCCCATCTCCATCCCAACCCAAAACCCATCCCATCCCATTCTCTTTTCCATCCCAGCCTTATCCCAACCCCAACTCTATCCCCATCCCCTTCCCCATTCCAAGTCCAAGCCCAACCCTAACTCCATTCCCATCCCGACCCCATCCCAATCCCCACCTCCATCACATCCCATCCCTCATCCCCAATTCTGGAGCACATCGGTTTTCCAATGTTTTATTTCTGTTTTGAGATTACAGAGTCTTTATTGCTGCTCTAATACAATCACTCAGACATCAATAATTAAAACATCCTTTTGAAAATGTTCTCCAAGTTTTGCTGCCCTCTCTGCAGCTGACGATGATGGGTTTGTCTCATTTGTTTCTAAAGATCAGAACTGAATTATTTTCCTTATGCGATTTTGCTGGTGTTACCTAAATCTCCTTTTCCTAATTCTTTAAAAATGTGTTACGTTAAAAAAAGAAGAAGAAAAAAAAAAAAAAATTACACGTTTTAATTTAGAGATGATCACAGAATATTATAATTCCAGATTGATTAGGAAAAGCCAAGCAAGCGGAAAAGCTGACAGGAGAAGCAGAATGACACGGAGAAGAACTTTAAAAATAGAGGTGGGAAAAGGTGGGGCCATTTTGGGGGTAATTTTTTTTTAATTATTTTTTTTTTTGTCCTATCACCTGGAAGATAAACAGAGATAAATCAGGGCTTAAAAATCAGCACGGCCGCCGGGAGAGATGATCCTGGGGCAGTAATGAGCTCAGTGTGGGGTGCTGAGCTCCATGTTGGGTGCTGAGCTCATGGCTGGGGTGCTGAGCTCCATGTGGGGATCCAGAGCTCCATGTTGAGGTGCCGAGCTCCATGCTGGGGTCCAGAGATCCGAGCTGGGTGCTGAGCTCATTGTTGGGGGGCTGAGCTCTACATTGGGGTGCTGAGCTCCAAGCTGGCTGCTGAGCTCCATTTTGGGGTGTTGAGCTCCATTTTGGGGTGCTGAGCTCCACGTTGGGGTGCTCAATGTGTAGATGCTCAGCACTGGGAAACTGAGCCATGTAGGGACGCTCAGCGTTGGGAAGCTCAGTGTAGGAACGCTCAATGTACAGACACACAGTGTGGGGATGCTCAGCCCAGTGCTGCCCCCAATATAAAACATCCAACAGCTCCGTGGACTCTTCCCAAAATCTCAAATCTGGGCACAGTTCTGGAGCTGGGAGAACTGTTTGCTGCAGGACGTGGCTGCGGAGCCGCGCTTCCACAGTTCCTCCTTTCTTGTGCGTGAGTGACGTTGAGGACACGGCGAGGATCTGCGGCAGGCAGCAACCAGAGGTGGATGAAGGATTCTTCAGGAAGTTGCTTGAATCAAGCAGTGCCTGCCTATGGGACGTGGAGTGCTGGGACACCGCCCTGGAGCTCCACTTTGTGGCCAACAGTTGGCCAACCTCCATCGGCTCCAACGCGTCGCGGTTTGGCACCGCGGAATGGTCGCAATTCCCACCTCTACACCAACGGGGTGCAGGTGGTTCCTCCGCCCAGAGGGGGTTTGATGGATCTGATGGAGGAATGTCACCAGGAAATCAGACTCTGCGTGTTCCCAATGAGGCTGCAGAGGACCTGATGTGGATGCCGTTGCGCTCCAGCCGTGATTCGGAGCAGCGCGAGCAGCAGGAAGGAAACTTTGGTTCACGGCAAAGCTTGGCACTGGGAACGGAGCAGCAGCGCAGCGCCGGGGAGTCCCCACCCCATCAGCTCCTTTCTCACCCTCATCCTCACACAGCCCCGAATGGGAACGACCAAAAAGAGAGAAACGAAACGAAGGGGAAGAAACGGAGCGTCTCCCAGTCCGCGGCAGCACGAACACGAGGCAGAGCCGCGCACAGAACTCTAATTCAATAAATAAATAACCTAACACACGGTCTACTACGAGAGCAAGCCCGGCTCGAGCGTAGCAAGCTTGCGCTGCTTCATCCTGTACAGTAGTTGAGAAAGGATTTGGGTTCTGTTCCTCATGGCTACAGTGGTAGGAACTTAATACCTGGAAAAGAGAGAAAACGAGGGTTCAGCACACAAAAAACTGTGAAATTTTGGGCTGGACACTAAGAAAATGATAGAATATCCGAGTTGGAAGGAACCCATAGAGACCATTGCATCCAACACCTGGTGTTGGCTGAAATGGTGTTGGAAGGAGCCAGGTCCTATCTCCTCCCTCGGAATTCTGAGATATTTTTAGTTGGGGTGAGGGAAGGGGAAGCTCAGCGGTGCCAACAGGGCTGAGGGTTGGGATCAGCTCAGGGCACAGGGAGCTGCACTGCCACCTCCAGCACCCAAACCTGGTTTAGAGCAGCAGAACTTATCAGAAAGAGGGGAAATTTTGGAGAAGTCCACATTGGCTTTTGGGTTGGGTGGCTTTGGTTACACTGTGTGTGTGTGTGCAGAGCTGCACTGGCTATGTCACAACCCCAAATCCTGAGCCTGGAGGGAGAAGTGACCCACAAAAATGTGGGGTTTTTCAGTGCCTCCTCTTTGGTGTGAGCCCAAGTGCTGCTGAGCGCCAGCCCCGGTGCGTCAGGCTTTAAAAATAACCTGGTTGCCTGAGAGCTGCCTGGGGGCACTGCAGTGGGAACAGCTGCCACCCAGGGAGTCCTCAGCCTGGGTGCAACCAGAGCAAGAGTGAGGTGCTGTGGAGAACTGGAGAGGAACTTGGAGGAACTCATGGACAGAGGAGAGCGCCTTTGTACATGGACAGATGGTGACAGAACAACAGGGAACTGCTCTGAACAAGAGGGGAGACTGAGGTCAGATGTTGGGGAAATCCTTCACCCAGAGGTGATACAGCCCTGGCACTGATGCCCAAAGCTGTGGGTGCCCCATCCCTGGAGGTGCCTGAGGCCATGGATGGGGCCATGGGCAGCCTGAGCTGGGGGGCACCCAGCCCACAGCAGTGGTGGGATGCTGGGGTACCTTCCAACCCAATCATGGTTCTACAGTCTTTAAGGTTCCTTCTAACCCAACCCATTCCAGGATCTTCGAGGACTCTCCCAACTCAACCCAACTCAATCCTATGACCTATATGGTCCCTCCAACCCAACCATTCCACAGTTCCGTGCCCGACAGGAGCTGCACCTGTAGTAGTTGGGTTTGAAGGGCCCGTTCTTGTTCAACCCCAGGTACTTGGCCTGTTCGTCCGTGAGCTCTGTCAGGTGCGCGTCGAATGTCGGGAGGTGGAGACTCGCCACGTACTCATCTGAAATATTTCAAGCAACGAGCAGAGCACAGCTCTGAGCAACGAGCAGCAGAGAGAGCAGAGCTCTAAGCACAGCTCCCTGCAGCCCTTCTGAAAGAGGCAAAAAGCTCCCACCACCCATCCCCTGCACAAAGCATTGATAGTTTCACAAAGCATCACAGCACGAATGCTGGAACTGCAGAGATT